TAAACACTGTACATTGTGTTGAAACAGATGAGGGAGGGAACTGTTTAAAAGGTATATATGATTAGGTATTATTGTCATGACAGGAGTCCAGAATGAAAGCCATATAGTGGAATGGACTTGTGGCAGGGGGAGATTGCATAACAATGAAAGAATTTTTTTTTTTACTTTTCAAAGAGAAAAGCAAAATGAGGAGGGGCATGGAGGAAAGTGTGCAACAATGAATGAATGGAAATCCAAAGTCTCTGTTAACTTTCATTAAAATAAATAAAAATTTTAAAAAAACAGAGGAAAGAAACACTTCATTGTTAAAAATTATGAAAGGAGAGCCCAGTCTCTATACCTTTTCAATCTATATTTGGAACATATCATTAGAGAAGCTGGGCTTTATGAGGAGACGTGTGGCATCAGAATTAGAGGAAGACTTGTCAAAAGCCTGCACTGTGCAGATGATACAACCTTGCTTGCTGAAACTGAGGAGGAACTGAAGCATTTGCTGCAGAAGGTCAAGAACTGTCATCTTCAATATCTATTTAAGCTCAATATCAAGAAGACAAAGATTCTTAACCACTGGGCCAATTGGCCGGTTCATGATAGATGGAGAAGGGTTCAGCTTGCTTGGTTCCACAATCAACACTCTTGGCAACAGCAGTTAGGAAATCAAAAGATGAATTACATTGAGTAAGTCTGTTGTCAGGGACCTCTCCAGAGGGCTTAGGAGCAATGATGTCAGTCTAGAGACTAAGATATGCCTGATCTCTGCTATGGTATTCTTAATTACATGCTATGAATTAGAGCTGGATAATGACTAAAGATGACAGAAAAAGAATTGATGCTTTTGAGTTGTGGTGCTGGAGAAGCGTATTGACCATAAGAACAAATAGATCTGCCATGAAGAGGGTGAAACCACGTTTCTCCTTGGAGGCAAAGCTTTTGAAGCTCTGTCTCATGTATTTTGGGCAAGTGGCCAGGAGGGACTAGTGCCTGGAGAAGTATATCACGCTCAGAAGGGTGGAGGAACAGCACAGGGGATGAAGACCCTCAGATGAGATGGATTGACACGTTAACTGAGATGATGGGATTAGGTGTGTCAGAATCAGTGAGACTGGCTTAGGATAGGGTAGAGTTCAGAGCTATTGTGTGTAGGGTTGCTATGAGTTGCAGGTGACTTGATGGCACATACAACAACAAGAACTGTTGGATTCCACTGAATAGAATTTTTTTAGGTGTTTTAATATCTATAATTCATGAGAAATATTGATCTTTAGTTTTCTGTTTGGCAGTGTC